ACTTGACAACCGTCTCATTTAGCAATGGAAATTGGGGGCTCAAATTGTTGTCGTAAATCGATACAGACTACCTGTATTTGATAGGCTTTTTAAGTGGCTAGAACAGAGGTCCCCAAGCTTTTGGGCATTAGGGACCAGTTCCATGGAGAGAGGTTTTTCCACGGATCGGAGAGTGCGTGGTTTTGTGTGCTGCCTGCATCCCACGGATGGGGCACTGCTTGTTTGTGCAGACCGGTTGCTGGCATGCCACAGACCGGTACTGGTCCACGGACCGGGGGTTGGGGACCCCTGGGCTAGGAAGCACTTCGGATTATCAGGAAGGTGGGTTTTATTCTCTCTGATCCTGAAATATTTTCCTTCCAACCTATCCACAGCAGTTTGAACAAGACCTTAACAGGTTCTGATCCTTTTCTGTCACCTGGAGATGTTCCACTTTTATGGGTGTTGATTTCCGCTTCCTAACATTTAGCCTTCTGGAGAGGGATAACATTAGCACCATCTGTTCCAAGAATAATATCTCTCATTTATAATAATAATGATAAAGTAGGAAGGGACCTTGGAGGTCATCAAGTCCAAACCCCTGCTCAGGCAGGAAACTCTACACCATTTCAGACAAATGGCTGTCCAGTCTCTTCTTAAAAACTTCCAATGTTGGAGCATTCACCGCTTCTGGAGGCAGGTTGTTCCACTGGTTAATTGTTCTAACTGTCAGGAAGTTTCTCCTTAGTTCTAGGTTGCTTCTCTCCTTGATGAGTTTCCATCCATTGTTTCTTGTCCTGTCTTTAGGCACTCTTGAGAATAGCTTGACTGCCTCTTCTTTGTGGCAGCCCCTGAGATATTGGAACACAGCTATCATGTCCCCCCTCGTCCTTCTCTTCATTAAACTAGACATATCCAATTCCAGCAACCGTTCCTTATATGTTTTAGCCTCCAGTCCCCTAATCATCTTTGTTGCTCTTCTCTGCACTCTTTCTAGAGTCTCAACATCTTTTCTACATCATGGTGACCAAAACTGGATGCAGTATTCCAAGTGTGGCCTTACCAAGGCATTGTAAAGTGGTATTAATGCTTCACATGATCTTGATTCTGTCCCTCTGTTAATGCAGCCAAGCACTGTGTTGGCCTTTTTGGCAGCTGCAGCACACTGCTGGTTCATATTTAAGTGACTGTCTACTAGGACTCCCGAGATCCCTCTCACAGTAACTACTATTGAGCAAGGTACCCCCTATACTATACCTGTACATTTGGTTTTTCTTGCCTAAATGTAGAACCTTACTTTTTTCACCATTGAATTTCATTTTGTTAGATAGCGCCCAGTGTTCAAGTCTGTCCAGGTCCTCCTGTATCTTAAACCTGTCTTTTTCACCTGCTCCTAAGCTATGTTTCTTATCTGCCCTGGAGAATGTTTGTAACCTCACGTAGTTCCTTGCAAGAGCCGAGAAAAACGTCGTATAACTTTAGATGCTCCAGCTAGAAACGTTCTAGTGATTCTTTCTTCGCCCTAAAAAGAATTGTGAGCTAATGAGCTAATGGAAGGATAATATTCTTTTCTATCCAACCAGATACCTATCCAGGTGATCTGTTTCAGAAAAGGAAATAGAATAAACTGCAACAGGTCAAGGATTACTATAGTTCATTTAGTGACCGTCGCCAGGGTCTCCAGATCAAAGGTTCCCAATGCAATCAATCAAATGGCAAAATACAGGTAGTCCTTGACTTACAGCCGTTTGTTTAGTGAACATTCAAGATTACAAGGGCACTGAAAAAAGTGACAAAGGACCGTTTTTTCACACTTGCAACCGTTGCGGCATCCCCAGGGTCACGTGATCAAAATTCAGATGCCTGGCAACTGGCATGTACTTATGACGGTTGCACTGTCCTGGGGTCACGTGATCCCCTTTTGCGACCTTCTGACAAGCAAAGTCATTGGGGAAGCCAGATTCACTTCATAACCGTGTTACTAACTTGTACTGCAGTGATTCGCTTAACAGCTGTGGTGAGACAAGTCGTAAAATGGGGCAAAACTCACTTAACAGTTGTCTCGCTTAGCAACAGAAATGTGGGACTCAGCTGTGATAGTAAACTGAGTAGTTCTTGTATTATACTATTTTCCTTATTTGCTATTTTTTCTTTTACTTTTATTTTAAAAGAACAAGTAGAATCTTAGCTATTGCTATTAACGGGTGCTTGCTTCAGCTTAGGGCAGGGGTAAGCAACGTTGGCTCTTTTATGACTCCTGGACTTCAACTCCCAGAATTCCTCAGCCAGCCATGCTGAGGGGACAGGGAGAGGTTTCCAAGCTGAGCCATGCTAGCTCAGGAATTCTGGGAGTTGAAGTCTGCGAGTCAGAAAGGGGCCTAGGCCTAGACCAGGGGTAGGCAACCTTGGCTCTTTTATGACTCGTGGACTTCAACTCCCAGAATTCCTGAGCCAGCCATGCTGAGGGGAAAGGGAGAGGTTTCCAAGCTGAGCCATGCTGGCTCAGGAATTCTGGGAGTTGAAGTCCGCGAGTCAGAAAGGGGCCTAGGCCTAGACCAGGGGTAGGCAACCTTGGCTCTTTTATGACTCATGGACTTCAACTCTCAGAATTCCTCAGCCAGCCATGCTGAGGGGAAAGGGAGAGTTTTCAAGCTGAGCCGTGCTAGCTCAGGAATTCTGGGAATTGAAGTCCACGAGTCATAAAAGAGCCAAGTTTGCCTACCCCTGGCCTAGAAGCTTCACTTTATTACATGTCAACATGTGAATAATTTAGAGCAGGGGTAGGTGAGCTTGGCTCTTTTATGACTCGTGGACTTCAACTCCCAGAATTCCTGAGCCGGCGTGGCTCAGCTTGGAAACTCTTCCTTTCCCCTCAGCATGGCTGGCTCAGGAATTCTGGGAGTTGAAGTCCACGAGTCATAAAAGAGCTAAGGTTGCCTACCCCTGGCTTAGGGGGAACATTTCTTATTTGTTTCTTGATCTCAGATTTGACACAATAATATTATTTACAATTCAATGATGAAGGAGAGGAGGCTGGAAAAAGGGAAAAGGACTGTGCAGTAAGCAAGTTGCCTAAATTTGAGTGATGGTTATGCCCAAGTATTGCACCCATTGCAGTTTACATCCTTTAATGAGAGATCTCCTTTCTGCTTTGCAGGTTAAGATCTAGACGCCAAACAGGCAGTCCTTGAATTACAACTACAATTGGATGAATCACTGCGGTTGTTAAGTCAATCATGCAGCCGTTAAGCGAATCCAGCTTCCCCGTTGACTTGGTTTGTCGAAAGCCAACTGGAAAAGTCACAAATGGAGACCACGTGATCCTAGGAAACTGCAACCATCATAAATACAGTTGTCAAAAAACGAAATTTTGATCACATGACCATGGGGATGCTGTAATGGCCGTAAATGCGAGGACTGGTTTGTAAGTCATTTTTTTCAGTGACGTTGCAACTATGATAAGTTGTTAAATGAATGGTTGTAAATCAAGGATTAGCTATACCAGGGGTAGGCAACCTTGGCTCTTTTGTGACTCGTGGACTTCAACTCCCAGAATTCCTGAGCCAGCCATGCTGAGGGGAAAGAGAGAGGTTTCCAAGCTGAGCCATGCTGGCTCAGGAATTCTGGGAGTTGAAGTCCACGAGTCATAAAAGACCAAAGGTTGCCTACTGCTGAGCTATACCAACAGTAAAAGGAGTTCTTGGATTATTTTCAGTGGCTGCTAAATTAATAAATGCTGGATAGAAAAGAGAGCATTTAATATCCATTATGAGCTGGTCTGATAAAACATTTAGTCTGGGTCAAGATTTCAACATAGATTGCTACCTTCTCTTGCATACTGACTTTCTAGCCAAATATTTTCCATCCATTAGCATGTACTTAATAGTGTTCCTTAGAAGCAGCGACAGAAGGGGAATCAGAACACAATAGAAAAAAAGCTCTGGGTAACACTGATTTTTGCTGCTATTTATAATCTCAAAAGTACAAGAAAATGTACTTTTTGTTTCCTGGACATTTTTACATTTTTTTTTCTTTAGTGATGCTTATTTTATCCATTTAAAAAGTACGTAAAGGTTGAAAATTGCTCTGGATATATATTGACAAAACATGTAGTACCTGATATGGTAAAAAAAATAAATGGGGGAAAAATCAGGAAATGAGATTTGATTTTTTTTTTTTTTTTTGTATTCATTGCCATATTGATTAGAAGAGTTTTAGAAACCCTGTCAAAATATTCCCGGGGTTTGAACTTGATATTCAGTATTTGCAAATCTGTTATTTCCCTGAAATTCCCCGGCTGAATTTTGTGCAACTTTTATACAAAGTGTCTGAAAACTTGAGATGCTGAAACCAAGTGTATTTCAATCCATCCTGAAGAGAGAGAATACAGTAAAATCTCCTTGCACCCATTTATTTTAGGTCAGGGCGTAGGCAACCTTAGCTCTTTTATGACTCGTGGACTTCAACTCCCAGAATTCCTGAGCCAGCCATGCTGAGGGGAAAGGGAGAGTTTCCAAGCTGAGCCAAGCTGGCTCAGGAATTCTGGGAGTTGAAGTCCACAAGTCATAAAGCGGCCTAGGCCTAGGCCAGAGATAGGTAACCTTGGCTCTTTTATGACTCGTGGACTTCAACTCCCAGAATTCCTGAGCCAGCCATGCTGAGGGGAAAGGGAGAGGTTTCCAAGCTGAGCCATGCTGGCTCAGGAATTCTGGGAGTTGAAGTCCACCAGTCATAAAAGAGCTGAGGTTGCCTACCCCTGTTTTAGGTCAAGGCTGTCCAACTTTGGCAATGTTAAGACTTGTGGACTTCAACTCCCAGAATTCCCCAGCCAGCATGGCTGGCTGGGGAATTCTGGGAGTTGAAGTCTACGGGTCTTAAAGTTGCCCAAGATGGATGCCTCTTTTTTAGGTAGAACACTTGTGTCCTCCTTGCAAAGAACGTTAATGTCACGTAATGCTGGTAGTCATATTTCCAGACAGTTTTCCTTTCCTGAGAAAAAAACCCAAAAGTCCAATACTCACTCAGTGGCTTGAGGATGTGCCCGCTGACCTCATCAATATTTTCCACATCTGATTCAGTGATTTTCTCCCTTTCTTTCTTTTCCTTCGGCCTCCTTCTGTGGTGCCGCCTTCTCCGATAACTCTTAGGAACGTGAACCCCAATATAGACTGTATGATGACCTGTGAAAAATAACGGTATTTTAGATTCTTTAACCATTTTCAGCTTGTATCAAATGACATTCATATATCTTCACTGCATAGGTAAAGGGGGCAAAAATCATTTCTGGGCACCATGGAGGTGCCAAATGTAACAGATGAGCAGCGAAACCAGATGTGATATTCATTGACAAAGTATTTTTTTTCAATAAACTGACAACGTTTAGGACAATTTCTCTCCCTCAACAAAATAATGGTACGCAGGTAGTTCTCGACTTACAACCATTCATTTAGCGGCCGTTAGAAGTTACAACGGTACTGCAAAAAGTGACTTACAACCAGTTTTCAGATTTATGACTTTTGCAGCGTTGGTCACAGGATCAAAATTCAGGTGCTTAGCAACTGGCATGTACTTATGACGGTTGTACTGACGTTGAGGTCACGTGATCACCATCTGTAACTTTCCCGGCTGGCTTCTGACAACCAAAGTCAATGGGGGAAGCCAGATCGCATGTGTCACTTAACAACTGTAATGATTTGCTTAATGACTGTGGCAAAAAAGTCATAAATCTCACTTAACAACTGCCTTTCTCAGGAATGGAAATTTGGGGTTCTTTTGTGGTCGTAAGTCGAGGACTACCTGTATATGCAGGGTGATGAAGCCAATGGACAGTGATATGCCTAAACATTAGAGAAAGAAGGGGATTTTGATCCAGAGCTGCCGTCAAATCTCTTGGAGAACATCTCAAGATGTTCTTCAAAGAAGAGGGAGTCAAGCTATTCTCCAAAGCATCTGAAGGCAGGACAAGAAGCAACGGATGGAAACTAATCAAGGAGAAAAGCAACCTGGAACTAAGGAGAAACTTCCTGACAGTTAGAACAATTAACCAGTGGAACAACCTGCCTCCAGAAGTTGTGAATGCTCCAACACTGGAAGTTTTTAAGAAGAGACTGGACAGCCAGTTGTCCGAAATGGTATAGGGTTTCCCGCCTGAGCAGGGGGTTGGACTAGATGACCTCCAAGGTCCTTTCCAACTATTATTATTATTATTATTATTATTATTATTATTATTATTATTATTTGAATAGAACACATTGTCCAAGTTGGTGATCCAGCAATCATGGAACACATGTCGTCAGTAAGAGAAACAATTTAATTGGAAGGGAAACTGCTCCATCACCTTTAAGAATTAGCCATCTTCACAAGATGGAGCCCACGAAAGAGGTTGTTGCCCCACAGACTGAAAAAAATCAATTTTGTAGGTGGCAACAATGTCAGAGGTAGAATGTTATTGACCATGTGAATACATCGTCAGCATTTTAGGTTTTTAGCTTTTTCTCTAGAATGACTAGAACCTTTGGATTTCAGAATTTAGGACAACTGATTTATAGCGTCATACACAACAATAGGAACACTGTGGACAGAGGGATAAAGTTAAAACAATGCTACTTTTGAAACCGAATATCCATGCTATGCCATGACGTTTTTAAAGATAACAAAGAAAGGTATGTGGTTTATGCCATCATGTGCAATGTGTCTTAAGAAGCTAATCAGATATTTACTTCATGCTCTGATCTTCTATCTTCTTCTCTTAAAAGTGAATCTAAATCTCCTTAATTTCATATAGAATGTAAACATGGAAATCCTTTGATGTGGTTCAATAATCCTGTTTTACCCACTCATTTCTCAGAGGTTTAAGGTGAAGAATTGCAGACAGAAATATGTTGATTTGAATACGCGTTTCCCATAAATTTAAGAACAAGTTTATCATCTCTGCGTGCTATCAGCTGCTTTTTATCTTCGTGGGCCATCAGAATGCTTTCACTCAGACTAATATTTTCATAGGTATTCAGCTCAGCTAGTCACCAGGCTAAGAAACAGGATATAATATTTGAGAATATTTGCAGCTTAGAGTTGCAAGAAAACAACCAACTTAGAAAGAACCAAAGGCCTCTCAAATAGGATATAAGTAGGGGTTATTATCAAATGTGGTGAGGACCCCACCTCATGAGACTGTGTTGTATTTTGTGTGCCCTCCCCCTACCATTCATTTTAAACATTATACCGATGTTTAAACTTGTGCTTTTTTCCTTTTTTTCTAACATTGTACTTTATTTAAAAATATTTTTTTAAAATCTTTTAGGCCAGAATAGTTATAAAGATGTTTTTACAGCTTTTAAAAACAAATTTATAATCTACCTTTTCACCAGTAAATAATTCCAATTGTACAATTATGCCTGCATATTATCATTTAAAAACAAAATCTAAGCTATTAAGAAGCAGCTATAACTGTAAAAATAGGAGTGTTTATCAATACACGTCTCACTTAAAGCCAGTTGTAACCATTAAAATAGGAGTGTTAATCAATACATTGTCTCACTTAAAACCAGTTATAACCATTAAAATAGGAGTGTTGATCAAGACATAGTCTCATTTAAAACCAGATAAGCCACATGATTCATTAATTTACAATTTAAATGCCAATAAAACAATGTAGAGTTCAGTAAAATTAATAATATCACGGGATTTATTTAAAGAGAAAAAAACTGAAAGAATTTTATCTTCACTATTTATCTCAAGGACTATAAAGAAGGATCTACAGAGATCATATACAAATAAATAAAATGTAAAGATGCCAGTCAATTACGGGTAAAGTACATCAAAATAAAAGGGACTTTGTTTCCGCAGAAAAACTCAACTGCATTATTGGTAGGCCTCAATTTAGGACCGGTTTCTTAGCAACCATTGGAACTTAAGATGGAGAACCCAAAACGAACTTATGACCTGGTACTAGAATTTCAATGGCTGTCCTGCCCCCATTATTAGGCAAAGGATCAGAACGTTAAGTTGCAGTTCACAAGGTTTATTGCTCAGGCCTATACACAAGAATCTAGTCAACTAAAGTTCAACAAACTCTAAACTGGTGCCAATAAAGGCCAACGGAATCCAAGCAGGGTTGGACTTGAACCCTTTGTGGCAACATAACAACACCAAGCTGATGACGCTCTTAACTCCGCCCCTTAGCTCTGCCTGCTCTTCTCCTACACCCTGCTTTTCGGGTGCTTAGCAACTGTCCATCTGCATTGTCCTGCAGTCACATGGCTGCAAGGTATGACATTTTTGCAGAAATCCAGCGTTTAGTTACTATTAAAAAGATCGTAAAACCAGGTCCAGTCATGTGGTGACCTGTTTTTACAACTGTCACGACTTATGAACGTAATTGACAGGCTCCATTACAGTTGTAGGTTGAGGACTATCTGTAGTAAAAGGGGAAAATAAAGCCATCATTTATCAAGTATTTCTCCCAGTACAGATAGGCCTTGACTTACAATTATTCATTTAGTGACTGTCTGACGTTACAAAGCATAGTGATGTAATCAAAATTCGGATAATTGACAACTGGCTTGTATTTATGAGAGTTGCAGTGTCCTGGGGTCACATGTGATTCACCTTTTGCGACCTTCCGACAAGCAAAGTCAATGGGGAAGCCGGATTCACTTAACAACCGTGTTACTAATCTAACAACTGCAGTGATTCGTTTATTGAAGACCCCTGCATCTGTGAGTAGCGTATTGAGGCATTAGGACTGCAACTGACTATAATCCATTTCTAAAACCAAGCTGACCACAGAAGCGAAACACTTTTATCGGGATTTTTATCAACAGCCATAACATTCTGCTAAAACTCCAACTTCCGTATTGTCCAAGCTTAGAAAGTTTCATTTCACAAATATTGTTTTCATGTTTAGAACTATCCTGGCCTTCAAAGGTTTAATGTATGTTTTACACATTACTATTTATATATCTGTCCAATTAATGCATGTGGTATTTCTCACAGCAGCTTTGCATCTGAGGATTATAGGACTCTGACCCACAGATTAATTTGCAAAAAAATGAAGAAAGTAACAAGGGGATTGACTTAGAAAAAGAGAACTCTGCATATGCTCCTATACAAGCTTGATTTGCTAGGCAAGAAAAATCCTTGCACCCATAGTTTTATGGAAAAGGAGAATATAGCATTAGATAAGGAGTCCCTCAAGATTCAAGAGAGATGCATATGGACAAGAACGGAACATAAAGATCTCAAGGAATAAAACGGTGGGGTCCTTAGTGTTCTCTGAGCTTGGTTGTTTTCTTGCAGACATTTCATTACCCAACTAGGTAACATCATCAATGCTTGTAGACAATGGGGTTTGCTTTCTGTTTCTATGCAGTGGCTCACCCTGTTAGCATTGGTACCAACAGTGTTATGTACTTGCATATAAACCATCAGGAAAAAGACTTTCCCCACCTTAACTTCTGTCCTGATATAACATTTGGAAAACCAGAAAGAGTTTAATTTAAAGGGGAACTGTTGCTTTAATGGGCTCGCTGAAGATCCAACAGCAACAGATGGCTGCCTCTTGGCTGGGATAGAGACAATGGCTGGCTGAGAAACTTTGGGATTAAGTTGTGCCAGTTACAAACCACAGTCAAAAATGTTGTGATAGAACCTCACAAGTACAAAAAGTTCCAGGAAGGACTTAGACAGCCCTCTAGCTAAAAAGTAAGTAAGTAAGTAAGTAAGTAAGTAAGTAAGTAAGTAAGTAAGTAAGTAAGTAAGAAAGAAAGAAAGAAAGAAAGAAAGAAAGAAAGAAAGAAAGAAAGAAAGAAAGAAAGAAAGAAAGAACAGCCTCTCAAACTGTCGCACACAACAATATATTCATCTAAGACAGAAGTGTCCAATCTTGGCCACTTTTTAAGATTTGTGGATTTCAACTCCCAGAATTCCTTAGCCAGCATGGGGAATTTTGGGAGTTGAAGTCCACAGTTCTTAAAGTGGCCAAGACTGGATACCTCTGTCTTAGATGAATGTTATGTCTAGCATTTGTTCCATACAGTATTAACCTTGTGAACATTCAAGCTTCCTCCTTTCGTTATGTGTTCAAGATGGACAGCGATTAATATTTATATGTTACTTATATGTAAGAGTGTAGGACTATACATATGTTGTATATAGCATGTTTTAAATGTGTGTTATGTAT